TTTTTTGTTTTTGTTTTTGTTTTTTTTTAATTTTATGTTTTTAGACACCTCACAGGTGTTACACTTTAATGTTGGAGGAATTAATTGCATCTACTTGGTGACTTTCCTGGGAGAGAGGACTTTTGGAAACTTGTGCCTGGTGTCTGCTAGATTTTTTTCCACCACTCTTACTGCCTGTATTGTGTGATGCAAGTGTCAAGGTTATTTGCATTATAGTCTGGACCTTCTGCAGATCACTTTACTTTTTGAAGCCATACTCAAAGCTGATGGTCTTCTGTGGCACCCAGAACAGTATTTCTGGGTGTAGAATGTGGTACCTGCTAGTCACATTGCTTCCTTTTTGTTGTTGTTGTTTTTTTTTTCCTTTCAGTACTGGGGATTAAAATATAGGATTTCATGAATGATATAGGCAAGTACTCCCCAACGCTGTGCTTCCTTATTCCTGGGAGAAGGTGTAAAATATAGCAGTTAATCTTTAACATTTGAAATGGGTTTCTTGTAGGCTACATGTAATTGTGTTTTGCTTTTCTCATACAGTCTGACAGTCTCTCCCTTTTAATTTGTGTGTTTAGACCATTTACATTTTATGTAATATGCTTAGGTTTAAAATCTACCACTTGCTGTTTCTTTTTAATTTGTGTCATTCTTTGAATCCCCTTTTCTACTTTTTTTGCCTTTTAAGTTGTTATTTTTATCTCCTTTGTTGTCTTATTAGCTATTAATTCTTCTATTATTATGGGAGTTGTTAATGGGGCTTATAGTGTGCATCTTACACTAACTTATATATTGTGTAAGAATCTTACACACAGTATGCCTCCATATTTACCTCCTGAATTTAGAGGGACGTTTCAGTTCTACATGTTATAAACCTTGTAATATGTTGTTGCTTTAAGTAATCAGTTATCTTTTAAATTTGTTCAAGCACCACATTAAAGACTTTTGCACCAGTTGATCACATATACAAAGGTATTCCTGTAAAATTATATGGCCTAGTGACATCATAGCCATCTTAATTTATGTAAGTATACTCAATGATGTTTGCACAATGAGATCACCTAAGGATACATTTCCTAGATTGTATCCCAATAATGAAGCAACATGTGACCCGCTAGATTTTCATCTGGTGTTATCTTCCACCTCATGAACACTTTTAACTTTATTTTTTAAAGAGCAGGTCTGCTGGTGATTAATTGGTTCAGATTTTGTTAATCTGAAAAATATTTTGCCTTGGTTTTTGAAAGGTATTTTGACTAGAAATAGAATTTTAGGTCTATAGGTTTTTTGTTTTGTGTTCTTCCCTGTCCTCTGTTTGGGACTTTGAAGATGTTACTTCGGTGTTTTTTAGATTGCATTTTTTCTGACAAGTCTGCTATAATATTAATTCTTGTTCCTCATTTTGTAATTTGTTTTCTTTCTCTGGCTGCTTTTACAAATTTCTGTTTATTCCTCTTTTTAAGCAATTTTCTAATAATGTATTTTGGGATTATTTTATTTCTTGTGATTGAGGTTTGTTGAGCTTCTTGGGTATGTGAATTAAGTGTTTTCATCAAATGTGGAATATTTTTCCATGATTCTTCAAATTTTTTTTTTTTTCTGTTCTCCCTTTCTCATAGCATTACTGTAATTATCCAGTGGCTTACTGGGGCATGTGCTCTCTAGCTGGTTTTTATTTTGGTCTCTTTTAAATTTTTCCTCTTTAATTTCTATTGCTGTCTTTCAATTTATAAGTCTTCTCTAATGTCTACTGTGTTGTTAGTCTTATCCCATGTATTTTTTTTATCTCATACATTGTTTTTTATCTTTGGTAGTTAATTTTTAAGTATATTCTTATATGATTATTCTTTTGTATTATCTTGAACACATGGGATATATATACATAACACACTTTAAAATGTCTTTTTCAACAAATTCTATTCTGCATGTGATGATTTAGTCAGTTTTGATTTGTCTTCCTTTTCAGAATTTGTTTGTTTCAGTTTTCTTCCCATGTCTGGTAATAGTTGACTGGGTACCAGAAACTGTGAATTTTATATGTGCCAGGTATTTTTGTATTTCTATAAATAGTCTTGAGGTTTGTTCTAGGACTCATTTAAGTAACTTGAAAATAGTTTGAAACTGTTTGTGGCACCTTTAAGTAACTTGGAAACAAGCTTTTTTTTTTCCCCCTTCTGGTACTGGGGATTGAACCCAGAGGTGCTTAACCACTGGGCCACATTCCCAGTCCTTTTTGTATTTTATTTAGGATGTCCTGAGTTGCTAAGTGTCTCACTAAGTTGCTGAGGGTGGCTTCAAATTCGTGATCCTCCTGCCTCAGCTTCCTGAGCTTCCAGGATTACAGGTGTGTGTCACTGCACTTGGCTTGGATCATATATTTGAGCTATGTTATAATGTTATATAGCACCAGGATAGCACTTGGTGCTATCCATCATTGAGTATATACATCATTGAGTATATTTACATAAATTAAGATGGCTATGATGTCACTAGGCCATATAATTTTACAGGAATACCTTTGTATATGTGATCAACTGATGCAAAAGTCATTAATTTTGCCCCCAAATCGAGTCCAAAGCCTTCTAAGTACTCCATTATATGTGCTGTGAATTAGGAGATCTTAAAGACTTGTATGGTGAGAACATGAACTGTCCCTGTTTCTGTGTACATTGTGGATCTTGTTCCCTCTTACCCAGGGTGTTGAGGTTAGCCTCAACATTTTGGCCCAGATAATTCTGTTCTGTGCATTATAAGGTGTTTAGCAACATCTTTAGTTTCTATCTACTTGATGCCAGTCGCACTCTACCACCACCAGTAGCACCAGTAGCAATAACCTGAAATGTCTCCAGACATTGCTAAATGTCATTCAGCAATGACAAAATCAGTCCTCAATGAAGACTACTACATCAGTCCTTTTAGGTACTTTCCTTTTTAACCTGACTTCAAATATTTCTTCACATGCATGCCATGATCCATACTTACTCAAGACTCAAGAGAATCTTCTGTAGATTTCTGGAACACATTTTGTATGTAGCTCCCTATGCATCTCCTTCTTGCTCTGCAAATTTTAGTCACTTCTACTTCCTGGGTCCAGCTTTTTCTCAACTCAAGATACTACCAGGTAATGAGGTGGAGTAATCATTTGTATCACTTCATTTGTTTATTCCCTTTCAGATGCCACTGTTCTTTGGTTCTTAATACCCTATCGAAAAATGTTTTTTTCCTATATTTGTGTTTACTTTTAGTAGTTTTAAGTGGATACTGAGTTTATTTCCTCTTATTACATCTTGACCTAAAGCTGAAGTTGTAACAGTTGGTCTTTTGCTTTGTAGGGAATGTCCAGAAGTGCCCCTAACCACCCCTAAAAAACTTAAGTGGCAGGTCTGTGAATCTTCATAATGTTTATCTCCCAACTTCTGGAGCATATGTGTATTACCTAGTACTCTGTAGTATCAACCACCTGTGGATTATTATGTTAATTCTCTCCAGTCAGTATGATGTCATCTGTGTAATAGATCATGAGGTGTAGATATCTGCAGACTATGGTGTAGCAGAGTGGGCAAATTAAAATAGCTTTAAGCAAATATAATTTAGAATTGCCCCACATAAACACACACTTTTTCTGATCTTAAATTATAATTGGAATGGAAAAGGATGCATTCACCAAATCAGCACTACTTGAGGATTGCCTAGCTTCAGTAACAATATTTTGTCTGGGATTACAGATGCAATTAGGGCTGGAATTTGATTAAATCTGTGATAGTCATTTTTTAGGATCCATTTGCTTTCTGCTGCAGGGTTCACACATATTAAAAAGGTATGATAAGGATCATAACTCCTGCATATTTTAAGTGTATTTATTTGTGACACTAGTCTTTGCTAGTTGTCTTAATAACCTACTGGAAAGCTTATCTTAGTTTCTTTTCTTCTTTATTGTCATCTGATAATTGGCAAGTTGCATATCAAAATTTGGGTGGCAGTGTTTGGGAATGGTCTGTCCTTATATAAGAGCATTATTCTCATAACGGAATAAAAAGGTACATTTTATGTGCAGAATTTAAGCTAATCTATTATTATTATCACTAACCAGTAATCTTAAATAATGTCAGTGGTAAAATACTCCTTTCCAGGGATGTCTACTACTCTCATGTCTCATGTTGTTTGTTGTTGGGTTTTTTTTTTTCCTTTTTAATCTATTTATTTATTTATTTTTAAAGGCAAATGACCCTTTTTGTTGGGTTTTATTTATTTTTTGTTGTGCTGGTACTGGGGATTGAACCCAGGGCTTGGTGCTTGCTAGGCAAGCACTTGGCCACTGAGCTGCTGTATTGTTGCTCTTAGTTGATGTTATATTGTGTTGTCCTGGATACTTCTGTTTGTTTTTTACTCCTGGTTATCTGAGTGAGGGCTAAAGAAAGATTCCCTATCTCTTTCAAAGAGTGAACAATGTCCATTGAATATAATTTCATTTAGTGGTAGATTATACAACTTTCATGTGCCATTCAGTTATTCATTCATTCTCTTTTAGAAAGAGATATTCTTTAGAAAGTCATATTTTAATGGAATACGAATAAAGTGGGTCTTAAAAAGGGGTTGTCAGCCAGGCTGCTTAGAGATATGGAATCTGCAAATATTGAGATTATATAATCTAGAGAAAACAAAAAAAATTAACAAGGATGAGATAATTGTTTTCAAATAGTTTGTTGTCACTGAAAAAGAAAAGGTTACCTTTACTTGGAAATAAAATAATGAGTTCATATATTTTTGTATTAAATAATGTGTGTTTGGCTTTTGATGTGTTTGTGTTGAGGAGTTGTTCCTGTGCAAATAGAGGGAGCTCTTTTTTTTTTTTTTTGAGGGAACTTTTTCTTATTCAGGTCTTTTACCATTCTGTCTCTTCCATAGTTAACAGCTCTGTGATAAATATGTGTGTGCTTAAAATCAGAATTGTTTGGTGCCATTATGTTTTAAATAGTATATGTGAAAAATAAATTCCTTTCTGTTCCACAGGACTTAAATACTATTTATTCTTATCTTCATGGAATGGAAATATTGTCAAATCTCAGGGAGCATCAGCTTAGGTAAGTGTGGTGTTGTGTTTAAGAGCATGTGCCATGCAGTTATTCATTCATTTAATCTCCTTTCCTATTTCTCATACTGTTTTAAGTACTTGACATATACAATATAGATTAGATCCCTACTTTCCTTTGGTTTTTGTATTGGTGGGGTGGGATTTGGGGGTTGTGGGAAAACACTATAAAAACTGTATATAATATCCAGGAATTATAAGTACTGTGAATACAATAAAGCACAGTGGTGTGAAATAAACCGAGTAGCTACTTGAATTTAGATGGTCAGTGAAGACCTCTCAAAAGAAGTAATTTTTTAAATAGAGACCTGAATGACAGAAGGAAGCTAAGCCAAGAGAGAGGGCTTTGGAGCTGGAACACAGAGAGAAAAGAGAGGTGGAGAATTGTGGAAAATGAGTTTGGATGGTGGTTATAGGGGCCAAGTCATTTGATGTTTGTTGGATAGTCATGGAAATTTACATTTCTTCTCCTCCTACTCCTTCCTCTTCTCCATTCTCTCCATCCTCTTCTCCTTGACTCTCCACCTCCCCCTTTTTTCCCCTCCCCTCCTTCTCCTCTTCCTTTTTTAGTTATGTTGGAGATTGAATCCAAGGCCTCGCACATCTTAGAACCATACCCCTAGCCTAAGAATTTGCCCCTTTTTTTGGTAGTGGGGATTGACCCAGGAACGCTTAACCACTGAGCCACATGGGCGGGGACCCCTTTTTATACTTTTAGAAACAGGGTCTCTAAGTTGCTTAGCCCCTACTTTTGCTAAGGTTGTCTTTGAACTCGAAATCCTCCCGCCTCAGCCTCTGGGATTACAGGCATATGCCACCTTGCCCAGCAGGAAATTTTATTTTTTCCTGAGCAATAGAGCCTTGACCAAGGCTTTTAGGCTGCAGTTTAGTCTCTCAAAAGTAGAGATAATAAAAGTGTCGGGGCCTGGGGTTGTGGCTCAGTGGTAGAGTGCTCGCCTAGCAGTTGTGAGGCCCTGGGTTCAATCCTCAGCACCACATAAATAAATGAAGATGTTGTGTCCAACTACAACTAAAAAATATTCAAAAAATTTTTTTAAAAATAAAAATAAATAAAAGTGTCTTTGTTACAGTGTTCTGAAGATTAAATGAGAGTAAGAATCTAAAGAAAAGCATAGTGCTTGGTATGTACTAGTTAGTGAAAATAAAACTGTTTTCTTTTTGGAGTTTGTATTAGTATTTGTGATACCAAATGCTTAAGATGATCATGATATCTTGTATTAAAGTGAAAGGAGCAAGGCACTTGATTTGGCACAAATCCCTGTGAAGAAGACAGCATCAACTTTTCTGAACCTCATTTTTTCCTGCAGTTTGGGCTATCTACCTGTTTATCTTACATCACTGATTATATTTGTACAACTTTTACTGTAAAAGAACTGTAAAACACTCTTGTAGTTTTGTATAACATTTTAGTTAAACATTTTTCTTCGTGACCTATTTATCTGACTACTTTTCCGGATGTTCTGTTTCTGATTATGGACCAGATTATTTCTAATTTATTCTTTTTTCTATATAACATAATTGAGGTGTTACTCTATATCAAATAAGTATATCAGGTAGAAAGAATACAAATAAAAACAGAGGAGTTAGTAATATTAAAAGTATTTTTTAAATGTAAATGTGTTTAACAAATTTTTTTGTATGTGCATTGCCTGTGCTAATAATTATTGTTCTTTACACTGAGGATATAGTAGTGAACCAAACAGTGGTCTAATTTTTCATAATGCTTATTCAGTATGAATTGACAGGTTTTATAATGTGTGTAAGAATTTTATGGTTAATGCCATTTAATATTATCTAGTTGCTCTTATAAAATATTACTATATTATATATTTTTAAACTCTTAGTTTAGGGAAAATTTAGTAATATGATTATTTTCTGTTGGTGTTATTATAATAAAATCTATTTTAAACAATTTTTACTTTTTAAAAATATATTAGATTAATGTCTGCAAGAGCACGCTATGAAAAGTACAGTGGCAACCAGATTCTTTTTTGGTAAGTATTCCGCAATTACTATAAATCAGTGACTTTTATGTTTAAATGTTGATTTTTAGCATTGAAATTCATTTGATTCTGAAATAATTGCCATAGATCAAATTGAAATATAATCAGAAACAATGAAGTATAACATATATAGAATGCAAAGTGTCCAGTGCAGCAAATTTTAATAAATATATACACCTGGGTAACTACTGTTACTAATGAAAATATAGAAGATACCACCTTTTCATCAGCTTTCTTTAGGAACAGTTACCACAGTGTGACTTCAGTCACCATAGATTACTTTTACCTCTTTTTGAACTTATGGGTAGTCTTTTGGTCAGGCTTTTGTTACTTAGCAGATATCTGTCCTAGGTTTTTAATGTTTTGCATTTGTTCTTTTTCACTGCTGTGCAGTCTACATTTGTGTGAGAATAACATCCATGCCACTATTAGTAGATATTTGGGGTAACTTTCAATGTTTTACTGTTGCGAATAGTAAAGTTTCTGTAGACTTTGCTCATCTTTTTATGCTCTTATGTACTTATTCTTGTTAGGCACATTCCTAGGAATAGAATCCTAGAAATTTCCATGTTCAATTTTAGGAAATTCTGACATTTTTCTGATTCAATTACAGTAGACATTAGCTGTGTGTAGTACAAGTTTCGGTTATTTCACATCTTTGACAGCTCTTGAAATTGTCAGGTTTTTTTGTTTTGTTTTTTTGTTTGGTTATTTCTAATTTAATCATTCTATTGATTGTTACATTATCTCGTGATGGTATTTTACATCTCCCTATTTACTAATGATGATGAATGATTTTAATGTTTTTATAGGATATTTGGATAGCCTCTGGTAGGAGATCCTGGTGGAAGTTTTTGACCATTTTTTTTTTCATTTGAGTTATCTGTCATGTTTCTATTATATGTAAATATTCTTTATTAATTCTGAATCAAAATCTTCTGTTGGATATACTTATTATAAATACTTCCCACCATGTACAGTTTTTCTTCTTCACTCTTTTAATGGCATCTTCTGAGGAAGAGAAATTCCTAAATTTGTTAGTTTGTCTCTTTGTGATTAGTGCTTTTCATGTCCTGTTTAAAAAGTCAAATCTTTCTCTTAAAATTGTGAAGATAATCTTTAGGTTTCCTTTAAAAGTTTTTATGTTTTTTCTCTCAAAATTAATTTTACAGTTCATTTTGGAAATTATTTTTGTTGGCAGTGCAGAGTGTAAATTCCAAATTTATTTCTCTTAATTTTAAAAATGTTTATTTCAAAGTAATAAATCAGGTGTGGCGGTGCACTGTTGTAATCCCAGCTATTCGAGAGGCTGAGGCAGGAGGATTGCAAGTTCAAGCCTCAGCAATTTAGTGAGGCCCTAAGCAACTTAGCTAGACCTTGTCTCAAAATGAAAAATATAAATAGCTAAGGATATGAGTCCATTTACATTTTTGCAAATCTAATATGTGGTTGACAGATTCTCATAGTTGTCTGCTTTCAATCTACTGTGATATATTTTTTTAAATCAAGTAAAAAGTTTTTATAGTTATGTAAAACAATAACAGACAAATGGACCAATAAACAAAGTAAACTAGAAAGACATACACACATACAGTCACTTAGTTTAGAACAAAGTAGATGCTCCACACAGTGGTATAGAAATGCAATCCCAGCTGAAACAGAAGAGGTTGGAGAATAAGCATTTTAGTAGCTTATTAATAATAAGCATATTATTTTCAAATAATTTGGATATTCTTCTTTGATATAATACAAAAATTTGTTAAGTTTCTTACAGGTTAGTTGCAGTATGGAATCTGACTTTATCAGTGAATGTTTGGTACTCCATTGCATTATAAATCATTGATCTGTCATGTACTTTAATTAATTATTCACCCAGGTTTGATTTTATAACACTATGTCTTAGTCATTTGGAAAATATTGCTTGTTGTACTAGGTTATGTTGTTTTTATAATTTGACACATTTTATGTATTATAAAAAATGACAGTTATTATCACTCCTGATTTCTTCCAAAAAGTTTAGGAAAGTAGGAAGTTCAATAATGTATAATTTAAATTTTGAGTAAAATTCGGATTTTATCATTGTCACAATTTATTATATATCTCTGTGGATGTCCAGTTGACCCAACATCATATATTGAAAAATATCCCTGTTGAACTTTAATGGAATTTTTGCTTGGTTGGGTGGGTTTTTTGTTTTGCTTTGTTTTACTGGTGTGGGCCCTGGAACTCTCTTCCACCAAGTTACATCTTTTGCCCTTTTTATTTATTTGAGTGTCTTACTAAGTTGCTGAGGCTGGTCCCAAACAGGAATCCTCCTGTTTTAGCCTCCCAAATAGCTGGGATTACATGTCTGCATCACTGTGTATAGCATCCGCTTTGTTTTAAACTAAGTGATTGTGTGTGTGTGTGTGTGTGTGTGTGTGTGTGTGTGTGTGTATTGTTTATCTTGGTCCATTTGTCTATCAGATGCCATTATTAATTACTGTGGTATATGTTGACATTTGGTAGCATGTATTTTGTATGCTATTCTTGAAGATTGTCTTAATTAGTATTTTGCTCTTCAATTTTAAAATCAATTCATCAATTTCCACACATATATACACACATAAAAACCTTTTGGACAGCTGGGGGGTTGAGTAGCATTAAATCTAAATCATTCAAGAGAGAACCCATGTTTTTATAAATATTATCTTTCTGTCTGTTATTTGTATATTCTTTCATTTAATTTTTCACAAGAATGTTTTAGACAGATATTTTTACTGCAGACAGAATTCTAGCATTGCAGTTTTGTTTTTGTTTTTTTCTTTTAATACATTTAAGACATGTTCTGGGTTCTGTGTATTTGAGGACTCAGTAACATTATTCCTTTGCAGGTAACATGTTTTTGTTTCTACCTCTGGATTTTATTTATTCATTTATTTTTTTAAACTTTGGTATGGGGGTGTGAATCCAAGGACACCTAACCACTGAGGCACAATCCCAGCCCTTTTTCCTTTTTATTTTATTTTAAAAATTTGTTTTAATTAGTTGTACATGACTTCCTTTTTATGGTTTATTTTGAGACAGGATCTGCATAAATTGGTTAGGACCTCACTAAGTTGCTGAGAGTGGTCTCACCTCCTGAATCACTAGAATTACAGGCATGTGCCACCACTAGAATTTTTTTCTTTTTGCTTAGTTAGATGTATCTATTTTTCCTAAATATGATTTTCTTTGTATTTATTTTGTTTTGGGGTTTATAGAACTTCTTGATTCTTTGATTTAGTAGCTTTATCAATTTTGAAAAAAATCTTTCCAATTTTTTTTATTATTGCTTATTTTCTCTTTTTCTTTAATTTTGTCCTTTATTTTCTTTACACTTTTTTCTGTATTTGCTGTTCTTTTTCTCTGTTACTCTGTTCTTACTAACTTACTTCTGTTTTGTGAATTCTTGTTTTTTGTTACTGTAGATCTCAGTGCTTAGGTCAAGTTCTCGATCTTATCTGTTTTCCTGAATGTATTAGATAAACTAACTTCTTTTTATTATTGGTTCTAAATTTTTTGATTCCATTCTTAGTGAGGATGGTAGTTTTTATTTTTATTATTATTTTTTTAATTTTAGTGGTATACCAGGGATTGAACTCAGGGGCACTCAACCACTGAGCCATACCCCCAGCCCTAGTTTGTATTTTTATTTAGAGATTGGGTCTCACTGAATTGCTTAGTGCCTTGCTTTTGCTGAGGCTTTCTTTGAACTTGTGATCAGTGCCTCAGCCTCCCCAGCCACTGGGATTACAGGCGTGCAGCACTGTACCTGGCTGAGGATGGTAATTTTAATTGAATGCCAGACATTGTATGAAAAGTTACAGAAATACTGTCTCCCCTTAGGAAGTATTTAGAATTTTGTTTTGTTTGACATGCAGAGTACAAACATCTTGATGCAGTTGAGAATACTAAATGATATATACTTTTCTTCTAATAATTTCTACTTTCTCAGTGAAATAGGAATCAAGAGTTGAGATAAGGAAGAAGAGATTGTTATTTGAAGAGATTAGGATAATGGATGTGTTCAGAAACATATTATGGTTGCTAGGCAACTTTAAGAGCCCATTTGAAATTTGTGATGGTTGTAATTTTGTTTGTGGTACTGGTGATTGAACCCAGGAGTACTCTACCACTGACCTATATCATATCGCCAGCCCTTTTTATTTTTTTTGAGACAGTATCCCACTGAGTTGCTTATGTGGACCTTGAACTTGGTATCCTCCTGTTTCAGCCTTCCCAGTAGCTGGGATTATAGGTGTGTACCTGGCTGTGATGGTTATGGTTGTTTTTTGGTTTTTATTTTTAATCAGCTATGTTCTGCTGTGGTATAGAAGTGGAGTAGGTAAAAAGTTGGATTTATTTAGCTCACTAAATACATAAAAGGAAAGTAGGGAGAATCAAGGGAGTTTTTCCAAAGAAGTGATAGTAGTAACTTAACATGAAAGGTACAAAAGGGGGGAATAGAAAAGAGACATGAGATTGATTATGGAAGTCTGAATGTTAGAATCAACTAGAAGGAATCCAGTGGGATGCTTGAGCCTTCTGATTATGAAAGTCTTATAGTTACTGCTAATGCAAGATTTCTTGTGTTTGGCCATGGAAGTGATTGCCTGAAGTAAAGTAGAGGAAAAGATCTTTAAAGAAGAGATGAAGTGATTCAGAGGCTGTCATTTCGGAAAGACAGAAACAATGTTAGAATGCTTACCATATTTCAACACATAATCATCACAGATTTTTATGCCAAATTTTTTGGTAAAAAAAAATGGTGCATAACATTTACAAGAAGCTTTCTAAAAAAAAAATTGTGCTAGTATTAAAAAGCATTTATTAATAAGCTGTCTTTGGTGCAGTATTAGAATGCACTGAATACTTGGTGAACATTCATTAAAATTGAATAGTCCAAATCTACACACATCATTCTTTGTGACAATTTAGTCTTCTGTGTCCAAAAATTATGGACTAACCTCACTGTTTTCCTTACCTCACAAGCAGTCCGCAGCACCACTCATACGTTAGTACTGCAATGCTAGGCTTTCCAAAATTAGTGTCAGTGGGCCTGTGCTGAGAATTCTAAGTTTGTGTCTTGCAGTGCACAAGAAGACAAAAACGCATCTGTATGGCACTGGTGGGTACACTGCTGCTTTATTTATGTTTTAAGAGGCATGATGAACAAAATTATACCATGAATAATTGTGGATGAAAAGCTGTAAGCTGGTTTTTGCTTTGAATAAAAATGGGGTGTAACAGTTATGCTGTGGGGACAATTATGCAGTGAAATTTGGTATTTAAAAGTCAAGAATTAAAATCTACAAGAAATGAGAGGACCATGGTGTTCGTAATAGTTTGCATTAGAGAAGAACAGTGAATGGAATGATCTGATGATCTAAGATTCATCAGGGCGTTGTTAGGAGAGGAAAACAATGGTTTCAAACTGATTAGTAGATAGAAGAGATTGTCCTATCTCTAGGCTAGTGGTAGGAGTACTGTGTAAGAGAAAACATTCACCAATTTTAAATGATTGTAAAGGAAGTAGTGTCCTCCGGAAATATTAAGAACACATTGAAAATAAAAAATATTTTTCATAGACTTAGTGGATGAGTTTTAGGACTATGAAAAGGTTGGGAGAAAGACTAATCAGAAACTAGTCCATTTAGGATTAGGCAGGTTAGATACTTGCAGAAGAAGGATAACAAGGGAGACCTAGGTTTTTGTGGTGATAGTTAAAGACTTCTTAACAATGTTTTTCTTTGAGTGGTTGGTGTTTCTTTATCTTAGGGGTAGGTAAGATCTTGTCTAGAAATTATTGTGGCTGTAAGTTTTCTTTTATTGTAAAAATTCATGATAGCAGGAAGGAGAAATGTTTTTCTTAAAGTATGTGATGCTCTTTTAAGTGCTTTCATTACTGTTTCTGGTTAATGAGTATGACTTGAACAAAGGTAGTTTGGGGATTTAGCCAATATTATATTAGGATTTATCCAACATAACATTTTAGTATTCACTTCTGTCAGGCGAGTGCTAAATCGGGAAATCTGAAAAATTAGAGCATTTGGTAAACGTAATTGAATTGCATATAAAGCATTAGTTATGCTTTGTGGTTTTATGACTTAGAAAAATATGTAATATCATAAAGCACAAGTTCTTTAATATGGCTTTAATTGGCTTTATTTATTTTGGTACTGGGAATTACACCCAGGGAAGCTTAACCACTGAGATACATCCCCACCTCTTTATTATATTTTGTTTAGAGAAAGGGTCTCACTGAGTTGCTTAGGGCCTCGGCCTTCCGAACCACTGGGATTACAAGTGTGAGCTACCACCCTGGCTTTTAATTGACTTTAAATTAGAATTATTTCAGTCAGATTAATAGAAACTCATTCAGACTGTGAAGCTATATGAAATTTTAAATCATGTATACATATAAATATAATTACTTGTGAATAGCTTTTGTCTATAAAGGTATTATTTTGTTTTCTATATGTAGATTTTCAACATCTGATGTCCTTAGTCTTCCCTATTTCTTCCTGGAAGTAACATATATTTGTGAGAGAATATTTTCCAATGTAAAATAAAATATAAAACAGTAGAATGTATCAATTGCTGAATTTCCCCTGGAGGACAGCATTCTTTCCTTTACCTTCCCTCCCCACATTCTTGAGAACTGGTTGCTACACATACTTTTGAGCAGGTCTTTCCATCTGAAAGTTAATAATAATAATAATAGTAATTCACCCTTAATCCCAATTCTTCCATGCTGTTTTTTGTCATTTCTTTTGTATGTATTCATATTTTCTGTATGATATGCATATGTTCTTTGCTGCTTTATATACAATTTTATTTTAATGTATCTCTATTTTATAATGATTGTATGATAGCTGTCATATTAATTGTACCATGATTATAAAACTATTCATAATACTAGATGTTTAGTTATTTAAACAGTATGAGATATTTAGATTACTGCTATGATTATGTTCTGTATATTTTTATTGCATAGATAATGGGAAAATTAGAAAACAGTTAAATAGAAAAACTAATTTATTTAAAATTATATTATACCGAAATAATAATTTCTTCGTGGTGAATTCCTCAGGAATAATTGTGAGAATAAAGGATATAACATTTTTATGGCTTGCACTGTATAGTACGCTATTGTTTTGAACAAAGTTTATGTTGGTAATGATTGTCAGTATCACTAAAAAATGAATAAACATAATTTTTATCACACCCCTTGGTAACATGCTAATTTGTGAGGATTTTTCTGAAAGTGTTTTAAATGTGTTTTCACTTTCATTTTCTATTACTACAGATAAGTGTTCTGTTAAGAATTATCTGCTTTTTTTCCCCATATAAATGCAGTTTTTACAAGACCCTAGGCCACGCTCAAAATTTCCCATGTTTCCAAGTATTGTTACATAGTTTTTATAATGATTTTTGCAATATTATCAGGATATATTCCATGTTGTGTATTTCATATTGAATCCATATATAAGTGAGCGTGTGTATTTATTTACTTGTTTATTTAAACAGCTCAGAAACTATTGCCAGATGTTGGTATATCCTGCTTTCTGGATCTGTACTTGTCAAAGACTCCATGGTTTTGCCTCCTTGCAGGTAAGTTTACATTAACTTCTTAGTGTATAAGGCAAAGTTAACATTGTAGTTGATTTCTCTCTTGTATTAAACTACTTTATGTAAAGTGTTTATTTTCTCTCAGTGGATGATACATTTTTTTTTGCATCTATGTCTCTTGTTATCAGAAGTAATCTGATAGGAATTGACTGAAATTTCATACTTCTTGAAGCTTACACTGTGACATTGTATCCACTTCCTGTTTGACCCATAGTTTTGTGTGGGATTTGATCTGATTTAGCTTGGCATTTGGATTTATAACATTATTGATTATTGAGAAACAGTATATTGTAGTAGATAAGAAATTATTTGTGGAATAAGGCAGACTAGATTAAAATCCTAATTTTGTCACTTCATAGTTATGTGACTGGACAAATATTAGTTTTCTTGTCTATGAAACAAGGATAATAATAATAATAGTAGAACCTGGATGAGTATTGTCATGAGGCTTTAGCAAGCTCTACTACTCAAAGCTCTCAACAGAAGTCTGTAAGGGTTTACACTCTAGAGCCACATACTCTACCACTTCTTGAGCAAATTGCTTAATCTCTGTACCTCAGTTTGCTCATTTGTAAAATGAGGCAGTAACAGCATCTATTTCATTGGCTAGTGCTAAGAAATAAATGAACTTATCTATTTAAATCTCTGACAGCAGTGCCTACCTATTAAAAGAAATTGCTCATCATAATTATTAAATCAAAGAGGAGAAGGATAATTAGATGATCAGTTACAGTATTCTTAGGGAATTTGGTCTTTTAGCAGTTCTTCAGATTTTTAAGCCTCAAATTATGCTTTGGTGACATAGAAATGTAATTTTTTCAATGACATTTCCCATAATATTGAAAAGAGACTTAAGCTTTTAAAATAAGACTTGCAGTTGCAGCTAACTGAATTTAGTGTATAGCTATTAAATTTAATTGTCAAAGTATGGAAAATGTCAGTTTAGATGCATTTTGAAAGTCATGTCTTGAGTTCTGAAACTTTATATTGCTGATTTTATTGATATAAAATCTTTGCTTTTTGACTGGTAGAATAAAATATATGGTTGACTATTTTTTACAAATAAATTATATATTAGTTCTTTGTTATTTAAATCTTTGGCTGTTATTATTTTCCTCTATATTTATGAAACTGCCTTTAATGGATTTGTGTTAAATTAGCCATTAAGACAGAATAAGCCAGGTTGATATTGCTTGCAGTTATGTTTTAGGATATTATTTTTCTTTTGAATATTTTCTCTCTTGCTGTTATAAATAGTAGAAAAATTTTTGTGAAGACTTTGTACCATCATTCAGCTACAATAATTTACTATTAGTTTGTGATTAAGACAGTGATGTTTAACTTTTTAAAGTAATGAATAGGAATGCATAAGGTTTTAAAAGACAAAGTCATGGTATGCATTAATATAGTCATCATGAACTTCATAAGAAACATACAAATTTGTTTAATCTCTATATTAAAGAACAATTCTAGGTCAGTTTTTTTGTATGTACGAAATATTTGTTATATCTAGGATGATTATTAGGATTAATGAGTTAATACAGAGAAACTACCTAGAATCATGTTGGCATATAATAATAAAATAATTTAGAGGTTTTGTTAATATTATTGTAGCATAATGTCAGTGGGATGTGATCATTATGGTACCCACAAAATATGATCACTACCTAGTACTAAGAGTAGGAGTAATAATATTTTAGTTTATAGAAATATAGCCATTTTACTTACATGAACAGTTTTATTTAAAGAATTCTTAACCCCTGAAGAGATCAGTTACTGTTTTAGTCAGCTTTTTCATTACTGTGACCAAAAAGACCTGATAAGGAGGAAAATTTTGAGGTGCATGGTTTCAGAGGTCTCGGTCTTTAGACAGTTGACTGTATTACTCAGAACCTAAGGTAAGGCAAAATATCATGGAGAAAAGATGTGGAGAAAGAAAGCAATTCAGGATATGGCACAAGTAAGCAAAAATAGAGTAAGCTCAGCTTACTATAGTTTTTTTTTGTTGTTGTTGTTGTTTTATGGTTACTATAGTTTCAGGGACAAAATATATACATCAGCGACCCACCTCCTCTAGCCACATCCTGCCTGCCTACAGTTATTACCCAGTTAATCCATTCAAGTGGGTTAATGCACTGTCCTAACACCTTACATCTAAACCCTAATAGCTACTAAGAACGAGAAAGGAGAATATCCCACAGCTGAGGGAGAATTCCCAAGAAAGGGATAAATTGAAAGGGGCACCCCTTCCCGTGACTGAAATTCAGATTTGGCTGGTGAATATGCTAGCTGCAAACCAGCAGATGGTGAAGTTCACTGGATTGCCCTGGGCCAGAGCTGGTCCATAGTAATTTCATCCAGGCTGGTGAGGAGGGTATTGCTGAACAGTACACGCAAGCAGAACCTTACCACTACAGCTTTTTGCCTCAAGATATAGAAGGGCTCCAAAGTGGGGACCAGCACAACAAACCTTCTCCTCTAACACTTAGCACTCCCATCCCTAAATGCACAGCAAAAGCCTTCCTACTGCAGTATCCCTCTGATACCCTCTACTAACCAAGCTTTAACATATCCACCTGACAAAAGTTTATATAATCCACACCCTTTAACACAAACTAGGGCAATGAAGTAGAGTTGAGAGGAAGTAAATAGCTGTCACAGTTCACTACTTTGAGGGCTGATCTTTTATATGAATGCCTCCAAGCACATTTCAAATTTAATTCAACAACAAACAACTGTGTTTCCACCTAAAAAGATACAGCTGTCCTTCATAAAAGTGAGGTTGTACTTATACTCTGCCCAAAATGAGGAAATGCACAATCCCAACAAAAATGGCTATCTATATAAATTATATATTCTATCATAATGTCTCTGAATATTCTGATAACTTTATTAAAGACTATCTAATAAAGTTCATTTTCAACTAAGAAATATGGGGAAAAGAAGAAGATGGTTACATAAAAATAAAGAGATATCACAATTAGCAAAGAGAAAATATGAAAAGTTACAGTAGTCCTTGTATCTATTATTGGTCAGATTTTACCATCTCTGGTTTCCTTCTTTCACATCTCATTAAGTATTTTTGCCCTCAGCTACTCTAGGTTCTTTACCTGATCATGGGAATACAGCTTTTATTTCTAAAGGCTTCTCAATTGTCCTGCCCCTTTTTGGTTACGATAGTTTCACATTGACCTTTTATAATGAATGTGGAAGCACTACGTTGAGTGTTTTAGTCAGCTTTTTTGCTACTGTGACCAAAAGACCTGCCAAGAATAATTTTAGAGAAGGAAGAGTTCATTTGATGTTCACATTTTCAGAGGTCTCAGTCCATAGACAGCTGGCTTCGTTGCTTTGGGTCCAAGGTGAAAGCAGCTCAGGCACCAGGAAGCAGAATGAGTGACTCCCTTCATGACTGACAAAATATATGCCCCTAGAGATACGCCACTTCCCCAAAATCCACCTCCTCCGGCCACATACTACTTGCCCTCAGTGACCACCCAGTTAATCCACATTAGTGGATTAATGCACTGATTAGGTTAAAGCCCTCATAAAACAATCATTTTGCCTCTAAATTTTTTGTATTGTCAGACACCTGAGCTTTTTGGGGATACCTAATATCAAAAACATAACATGGTTTTATAGTAGGTCTTAAAGATGGGGTAGTATTAGTTCTCTTTGTTTTTCAATAGGTATTTTCTTCTCCGTATAAATTTTAGAATAAAATATTTATTTATTATCTGCAAAATATTCATATTCATTTTTATTCAGTTCATAGATGGCCAACTCCATTGTTCTGTGCCCAACATGAAGCAAAACATGGTAGAAGGAAGCAAAACAAGGTAGAGAAAAGCAGCTCACTGTATGATAATCAGAAAGCAGAGAGAGAGAGAGAGCTCCCACCACCTTGAACAAAATATAAACCCCAAAGGCACATCCCCAATGATCCACTTCCTTCAGCCACACCCCACTGATTAAATTAAGACTGTTTTGACCTGATCATTTCACCTCTAAGTGTTTTTGCATTATCTAACACATGAGCTTTTAGGGTATTCCTCATATCTAAAACATAACAAGGAGCCCAAGAGAACATTCCCTCTGGGCCCCAGACAGTGCCCACCCGCACCCACCCACCCTCAGTGTGTCATAACACAGTTTTCTCTTGGTAATTGTGATCCATCACTTGAGTTAGTAGAATGACGTCTTCCGCCCTTCGTTCACTGGTCAGGAAGAAGTCTCTCATTGGAACCATTATTGTGTCTCCTGGGAGAAGCATTAAGACTAAACCAGCAGAGCTTAAAAGGTGTTATAAGTGAAAGCAAAATTCTGTGCCACTCCTATTTCCAAGACTTGAATATGAGCCTTTATGTATTTACTCTTGGAGAAGACAAAAAACATGGTTGCTTGAAAAGTCAGTTCCTTTATTGTCCCAAATAGCAAGACAGGAGTTACAATTTTTTTTGTAGGGCCTGGGGTTGTGGCTCAGCAGTAGAGTGCTTGCCTCAAACATGTGAGACCCTAGGTTCGATCCTCAGCACCACATAAAAATAAATAAGTGAAATAAAGGTATTGTGTCCAACTACAACTAAAAAAATTTTTTTAAATGTTTTTTGTAAACCCATGCTTAGATGATGCAGAAGCATTTCAGACAAATTCATTTCCAGAATGTTTGTTCCATTGAGAAGAAATACCTGCTTCCTCCATCATAGAAGAGGCCCAGTGGAAATAACCTGCCTCTAGTGGCCAATTAGTCCTCTTAAGAAATAGTTCCATGTTAGAGACTCAGTTATTAGTCTGTTGGCAAATTAGGCACCCAGATGTAGCATTAGCATTTGAGTCCTCCTGACTCTCCTCCATTTCTGCCACCCTGGTTGCTTTGTCCATATTCCTATTGAACAAACACTAGAGTAGCCAGGAGAATAGGTAGGTTAGTTGACGTGTGTAGAGCATGCCATTTTTCCTTCTTATTAACAAATTTC